CATAATAAGTAGATGTTGAGTAAAACAAATGAGTGAGTTCACCTAAGATGATCATAATCTTTTTAGATAAAATAATGCAAAATGCTTGGAGAAATTGAATTATTTAGATGGCAAAGTGTATAGAAAAGTGTAATATGTTCAACACAAAGTATATAGAAAAATGTAATATGTTCAACAAGAAAGGAATAAAAGTTCTGAAAGGACAGTATAAAACATATTTGGGTTTTCCCCTTGAGACTGTGAACCCCATGAAGGTTGATGTGGAATCTGTTACTCATCTCTATCTAAAACTTGCATCAGACTTGTCATGTAGGAAATAATGAGTAAATACTTTTGAATTGGTGGACAAAAATTAGCCTTAAGTCTGAGTCTACACTGAAACCTCTATGAACTCAGGATCAGGGGTGAAGACATAACCAGAGGTGATAAAAACAGACAAGAGAGAGCTTGATGTGTCTATGAGAGGACATGATAGCTGCCTGTGGATGTTGAAAAAACTTCTAAGCAGCATAGGGTAAAGACTTCATCCATGATGCTCAAGTGGGAGAACTGGCACCAAGGGTGAGGTGGGTTTGGGATTCACTTTGGAAAAAGCTATTCAACCACAGAAGGAACTGTAAACTCTCCCACACGAAGTTTGGTAGAAAATACTTGAGCTGTATCAGGTTCAAAAGGTTTATAAGGTAGAAAACATGGGGTTCAATCTTAACTGAAGCAGACCCCTAAAAGGAACAGTAATTCAATATTGGAAGCAATCTAGAAACCTTATACATTTTGGCACAACTTAATAGGAAATGTATGGACCCAAACCATGAAAAATAAAACCCCTATAGGAAACGCGTTAATAAAAAACACTCTTTATTTTGTGTATTCTAGTGGGTGGTTTCTTGCAAAACTTTTAAGAGTTTAGGGCCAGGTAAGAAAAGCATGAGTAGGCAGTTTTGGAATGTTTACAGTCTCTATGTGAGGTTCATGAGCACGGGAAGGCGAAGGAGAAGCTTCTAAGACTAGTGGTTCTCACAGTATGACCTCCAGAGGACCAGCACTATCAACATTACATGATAATTTATTAGAAATTAAAAATTTTGAGCTCCTCCCAGACCTACTGAATCAGAAACTCAGGAGTAGGGCTCAGAAATCTGTGTTTTAGCAAGACGTCTAGGTGATTCCAACACAAGTAAAAGTTTGAGAACAACTGAATTAGACCACTTTTAGGGACCCTTCTAACTCTTAAGATCTTATTTCATTAATACATATTCCACATGACCATACACTTCTCAAAGGTAGAAATCACACTTTGTATTTCTCATGGTTTCTTACAGAGACTCACAGTTCTGCCATCTGTCAGATTCATAAGAAGAAACCATTAGTAAAATTTCAGAAGTCGGACCACCTCAAAAGACTTAAAATTCCATCTTCAAATTACAGATTGACATCTCTTTTATTTCCTGCCTTTCCTGAGCCTTCCTTGAAGTTCAGTGTTCAAATAGGGGCTGGGCACTGTGGCACGTGCAGATACTCAGGAGGCTGAGGTGGGAAGATTACTTGAACCCAAGAATTCAAGACTAGCCTGGACGACCTAGTAAGACCCCATCTCAAATTTTAAAAAAATTACCATTTAAAATAAAAGAAACTGATAGGATCTTATTCAGTTTTCCAGAAAAAGATCCTGTAAAGTTGGTAGAGGAGCAATTTTTGGATATTCAGACTCAAGTGAAGAGTCAGTATTCTTATTACTTTGGGATTGGATTTATGTATGATGAAATTGTTTTTATTTGATTCTTACATACTTCCTGCAAGGAACACATATTATGAAACTTTAAGTTAATGTTTGATTGTTCTATGCCTAAATGGCAAATGCTAATAACAGTCAAACTGAAAGATGTTGCAAAGAGTCAGAAAGCCTGTGAGGGTAGTTGAAAGCCTTCTTTTACAGATATGCCAACTAAGGCCCAGAGAAAGGAAGTGCTTTGCCCAGGGTTACAAAGCTCTTTATTAATGGTACATCCGGGATTAGACCCCAGATTTTCTGACTTCTGGATCAAAACATTTACCATGACATTAGAAATTCCCAAAGCAGGATGACTGAGGTATATCTCTATTTTAAAATCCTAAGTAAAAGTAAATGTCATGATGTTTTTTAGAGTTTAGAAACATTGGTGTATGCAAATTGCATGCCTCTATTCAGAAGATATGGCGTGTCTGGATTAATCTTCTCTATTGTTACTTTAAGTAGAAATGACTCGTCATGTATTTCACTAACTGAAACACATTGAATAGAAAATAAAATCACTGCCCTAGAGACCTGTCTGACACTAATGTATGCATGTTTATCTTTGCCTTCATATTCCACTAGACAGTTGTGTCTGTGAGGAAGCTTTTAAAAGTGTTTTCAATGGAGAAAGCTGTGCTTGTAGCTCTAGCTAGATTTGACTGGTGGCTGTTGAGTCATAGATGGGATTGAAAGAGCCCGTGGTGATAGTTCATAAAGTGGATTCTAGAGCTGCTGGTTTGCCCAATGCCAGGACTTGTCTCTGGGCACCAAGTAGGCACTCAAGAAATTAAAATGACCTCCTGACTTCGAAGCTCCACTTCAGGTATTATATTTATTTGAATTCATTTATTTAACAAATTCATATTAGGCCATAAAGCCTAATAACTAAGAACACAAGTGTTAGAGTCAGATTGAGTTCTAAGGCCAGCTCTACCCCTTCCCTTGCTTTTAGGCTTTAGACAAGTTACTTACCCTCTCTGAGTCTTACTTTCCTAACCTATAAAAAGGGGTTCATCAGTTAGGATTCAATCAGAGAAGCAGAACTAGGAGATTTAGCCTTATACAATTATGGGTGCTTGTTAAACACTGTCTGCAAAGCTCCTGTCTTTGTGACTGATGCTGGTTCCTGAAGTGTTCAGGGCAGGCAGTTGGGAAGCAAAAGTGGATATAAGGTGGAGAAGAGGAAGGGCAAGTTGGGATGCATGGGCATGAATGAGAGCCTTCAAGGACCAATCGGAACTTGTGTCAATTCTCATTGCTTCCAACTTCCATGAAGTGGGTGTCCTGCAAGAGAAGCTGACATTCTTCATCAAAGAGCTAAACACACACCTAGCTGAGGAAATAGAGAAACTAAAGTTGTATCCAGGGGAAGGTGGAGCAGCTGTGGGCTTGACTGTTACCCCAGGTCAACGAGGTTAGCCAGCAGATCAGCAAGAACTGCCTAAGCACAAAAACAAAATGGCCCCACTTCACTTTTGTGTTCCAAATCTGGCGTGAAAGTCAACCCAATCCAGAAACACCATGAAGGGGATTCTGGGAAATGTAGTTCAGTCTAGCAAGGTGGACAGGTCACACAGATACCATGTAGGGTGAACCAGCCCACTCTGTAGACTTACTATGAGTGTGAAGCCTGAGAAAATACATAGTGATTATGATGATGATGTCACGTGGTTTCCACTGTGAACAATAGTCTATTTCAGATATGGTAGAGGCCAGAAACATGTCTTGAGCCCCTGTTCTCAAGTTCTTTACATTCTAACATAAGAAAGAACACGTGAAGATGAGACATTATAATTTTAACAGTTCCCCATAATTACAATGTTGCAAGAATTGGTCTGTTTTGAATGGACCAGTTTGGAGGGCTTACCCTTTAAAACATTAAAATTATTTCTTATTTTAATCATTTTTAATGAATATCTTTCACACATGCATTTTACATTTTCTGACATCTTACATAGTATGAAGGAAACCGTTTAAGCTTTCCTGTATGACTCAGTCATCACTGGGAGTGTCAGTTAATTGCATTGTTCTATAATGGGACCAGTTGTATTTGAAGCAATTTGGGCTGACGCTAAATGATTCTATTGATTGACATTGTTCTCTCTCGTTCTCTGCTGGCATTTGCCGTGATTTTTAATCTTCATGCCTATGGTGATATCTCTCCCTTCTTCTAATCTGCTGCTTCCAATCTGCTGTCAACTGAGAAACCAGATAACAAAGCTTGTAAAAACTGTGCACAACATGCAATAACATAAGCGTGATGAGAACTTGAGCAAAACCCATTTTACTGCATTTTTTCCCTTTCTCAGAGCAATGCAATTTCAATGCCCCCATAAGTAGTGTTTCTTTCATTTTGTAGATTATTAGGTAAAGAAGGACAGTATACTTTTATACAAAACGGAGGCACTTCCAGCAAGTGAGGCCAAGTGGTGCCTTGGCTCTCTATGTGAACAAAGTTTTCCTGATACTCAGTCAAGAAGGCCAGTGGGAAGATGGAGTTATCATACAGCACAAGGCAATCTAGATGTGTGGGCTCAAAAGGACCTTCCTGTGGCAATTGGGACCATTGTCACACTGGATATGGCAGTTTAGTTTCAGCAAGATGTCCCCAGCCAATGAAGTTTATGTTAGTAATTGTAGTTTTTAAATTTTATATTCTTTGCTATTTGATTTCTAAATTTTATAGTTTAAAAATACCTATAACATGGGATGTTTATACATAGGTTCATATGGTGTATATAATTGCAGTAAGCGTGCTTGTGCATGGAGAAGCATTTTCTTTTGACGAGTAAGAATAACTTTCGAGTAAGCTTCAGCCCTATCTCAAATTATGCTCATTTCAGTTTTCTGCTCACGTTAAGGAGAAATCTTTCAATTCTGCCTGTCTGGGGGCTTCTATTTCCTTCAGCCTTTGCATTGGCAGTGTTCAGTTTTGCTTTGTGATGTATTGTAGCATAACAGCCAAGAAATGGACTCTGGGGTCAGGCAATGTGGTTTTGAATCTCACTTCTAACAAATCACTAGTTACGTGGCCTTGAGCAAGTTAAACTCTGTGTGTCTCAGTTTCCTCCTCCATTCAGCAGAGATAACACATTATATACCTGCTAGGGTCCTTGTGAGGATTAGATGATGCAGTTCGTACAAAGTGTTAAGAACAGTGCCTGGCAAACAAATGAGTGCTTCTTAAATGTTGGCTATTGATATTCTGGCTTTTCTGTCATTCCAGAGCCTCCAAGCATAAAATGATGCTGAAAAGAAATGAAATGAAAGGAAGAGGAGCCAAACCATGAAAGTTAATACTGGCATTATGAAAAGTATTGCTATGAATCCAATTTATTTAATTATAAGTGTTTTTAATTAATTTCAAAAGAAGATGGCCATCCCCATCAGTGTTTGGCAGAATGCCTGCATTTGAGGGTGAAGAAAATAGTGTGTGTGTGCACATGCGCATGTAATGCTTTCACGATGAAAAACGACTTCAATCATCAATTCGAAATCCTGTTCAAAGTGAAATCACATTTGCATGACAAACAACACAGCATCTACCAGTTAGAATCATGTTTACTTGGCAGAAAGAACATTCGTGAAACCAACACCAGTGTCACAGCCACAGAGGAGAATTGCATTTTATTCGTCTTTTTGGTTCTAGTATAAAACATAAAAGGTACCCAACTGGTGTCTAAAGAATGAATGAGTGTATCATTTAATAAATGACAAATACACAGAGGAAAGAACACGTAGGAGCTGTCTGCAGAAGGTGAGCACAAGTGTCAAAAAGGAATAAACAAAATAACAAAAAGAGTAGATTAGTGGAAATCCATATTATTCTCAAGCTGCAAATTGATCCAACGATGTAGGTCTCACTTCAGTTGGTCCTCAGTGGTAACTGCAAGATTTGGGGTGATAAGAATGGTGGTGCAAATGCGTGTAAATAAAGTGTGTATTTGAATGTGTGCACTTTTTAATTAATTTAATCTGGCTCACCCAACCTCTTCTACTTGAGTCCAAAATCACAAAAGAGAAGTTAATGGCCCTTCATTATCAGTCATATGGGACAGAATATGCAATAGCTTTCTTGAAACTCAGTGCACTCTTTCCCTAACTAGCACTATTATCTTGTCCCTTAATCTATAACTATGAAGGGGGAGAAAGTAGGTTCTGATTTTCATCTTCTATTTGGCTTCTCACTTCTTATTCTCACTGGAATCAGAACATAAAAGAAGAAGGTCCTAGGAACCTTAACCCTGAGGGTCTTCATAAGATGGCTTAATTTATTATCCTCCTGTTCCCCTTATGCAGAATGTCAGGTTTGCTAACCAGAAACTGCTGCAAATTTTTTGCAAGAACCACTATTACCTGGTCCTGCAAGTCCTACAGGAAAGTCCTCTTGGGGACTCTCACCCCCTCTTCTCAACCTGGTTTCTGCCCCGTGTAAACCACAGAAAATCTCAGGCACAAGACAAAGGGGATTCCCAATGGGTATGAGCTCTGTACATTTCTTACCTTCAAGTTTTTTCACTTATGCTTCACCAGCCTCTTTAGATTTTTGCTTGGAATTACAAGTATTAATGTCACTTCTTGCTGTAGTTGTTGTTTATGTGCCCACAGTGGTGCTGATCGCAGGCTGACTCTGACCTCTGTTCTTCAGATCTATCTGAGCTATTGTTCAACCTCAGCAGGAGGCAACCCCAGGGGCCTGGCTGTGAGCCTCCAGCTGATGCTGTTGTGGGCAATCTCATGGCATGAATAATATTGAGTGAGAAGACCTGGGATTGAATCTCAGCTCCAACTCTCTCCAGCTTCATGACCATGGGCATGTTACTTCACTTCTCTGAGCCTAACATCCTTATTGCAAGGAGAAGAACTAGTTTCTCCCTCCCAGGGTTATTAGGAAAATCAAAAGAGATAACTCATGTGACTGGAATATGGAAAACCTGCTCTGGAGCAGATGCTTAAATAATTATTATTCCTGCTTTACCCCTGTTGCAATGCTTGTTATATTTTCTTCACACTATAGATCTTAGAGAAAAAATGTTACAACCCATTGGGATAAAGAGACGAGGTTCTTCAAGCCAGAGGTTTCAGCTGACCCAGACTTCAGCTTATGCGGTATGCCTGCAACCATCCAAGGTTCTCTGCCTGCCACGGCATACCTGGTGGGAAGCTTTGGGATGGCAAGTGTGAGTCTTGACCCTTATGAAGGTGTGGCCTCTGAGGCAGAGCTGTTCGTATTTGATCATTGAGTCACAGCAGCATGACAGTGGCAACTCACATAATGGTCTCTCTGCAGTGTTCTCACCATGGCGTTCCTGGAAAGTGAGGTGACAGTTTTAGGGCTTCATCCAGCCCCAGATACGTAGTTAGCTCCCCATAAATATTAACTGTCATTGGCTTTGTAATTACTCTAATTTGAATCAAATTGGGCCTAGAATAACCACAAATTTGTTTTTCTGTCCAATCACTGTATTCAAAATGCTCCACCCCGTTTCTCTTTTCTCTCCCTTGTGAATATCTCTGTCAGACCCCTCAGTCTTCTCATCATTTTCTGATATTAAAGAATACAGTAGGAGCTTCGATCTCATTTTAATTTGTTCCCAACTTCTCCACCGACCTTGGCTGGAAGCCTCAGAACGGGACCTTTGAGTAGACGTCTCTTTCCATTCCTTCTTGCTTTCACCTCTGGTATGTTGGGATTTGCATATGGGAGTTGGAGGAAGGGGAAGCACCGTTTTTTTGTGGGCACTTCTGGTGGTTTGCAGGTTTCCTACATTAGGGAAGAAAGAGTACAGAGGTTTCTCACTCCGTCTATGCACAGGTGACCCTTGTCCCTTCCACTTGCAGTTATTGGTCAAAACTGGCCACTGGCCCTTTCCAACTGGCCACGGAGCTAAGAAGTGTGTTGTGCTGGTTGCCCAGGGAGGAGTGGAGAGCTGGGACCACTGGGGAACACTACAAATCTCCATCACAGGCCATTTGTGTGGTAAGCTCGTTTTAGGAAAGAGTGTTGAATGTCTACGGTAGCAGATGGTGAGGAGAGGGAGTAATGGAGCTGAAAGACCAGGGACTTTGCTATTAGATGATCTTGCTTAAAAACACAACCGTGTAAGTTGGAACCTTTGCACTGTTGGTGGAAATGCAGAACGGCCCAACTGCTGCGGAAAACAATATGGAGGTTCCTCAGAAAATTAAAAATAGAACTACCATGTAATCCAGCAATCCTGCTTCTGACTTTCCTGTCCCATGTAAGGTAGTTTCATTTCCTTACATACAAAGGAAATCTAATCGATACCTCGAAGAAACAACCGCACTCCCACAAACAAACTTACAAACAAACTTAAACAAACAAAGAAACAAAACCCCCCAAAACCCATGTTCTTTGCAGCATTATTGACAATAACCAAGGTATGGAAATAACCAAGTGTCTCCCACAGATGAATAGATAAGAAAATGTGACATATACATATTATGGAACACTACTCAGCCTTAAACAAAAATATCTCGTCACTTACAGCAACATGGATGAGCCCTACAGACATCATGCTAAGTGAAAAAAGCCAGTCACAGAAGGACAAATACCGCATGAGATTCCACTTCTACGAGGTATCTATAATAGACTCAGAGCAGAGAATGCAATAGTTGCTGCCAGGGACTGCTGGGAGGGAGAAATTGTAATTTGCTGTTCAATGGATATAAAGTTTTAGTTATGCTAGATGAGTAAGTTATAGAGATCAGCTGTATAATATAGTGTCTACATTACACTGTAATATAGTGCACTATAGTAAACAATACAGTGTCATGAAATTCAAAATTTGTTAAGAGGGAAGATGTCATGTTCAGTGTGTTTCTTACCACAAACAAACAACCCCCCCCCCCACCAAAACTCAAAGAGACACAAGGATACTTTGAAAGGTGTTGGATATATCTATTACCTTAATCGTGGTGATGGTACCACGGATGTTTGCATATATCCAAATTCCAAATTGTACACATTAAATATGTGCACGGATCTTTGTACGCCAATGATAGTTCAATCAAGGTGTGAAAAAGTCTGTGTTGGCCAGGCACAGTGGCTCATACCTGTAATCCCAGCACTTTGGGAGGCCGAGACAGGCGGATCACTTGAGGTCAGGAGTTTGAGACCAGCCTGGCCCACATGGGGAAACCCCATGTATACACAAAATACAAAATTAGCCTGGTGTGGTAGTGCATGCCTATAGTCCCAGCTACTCAGGAGGCTGAGGCAGGAGAAACGCTTGAAACTGGGAATCAAGGTTTCAATGAGCTGAGATCGTGCCACTGCACTCCAGCCTGGGCAACAGGAGCCAAACTCCATCTAAAAAATAAAAGGCCCAGCACGGTAGCTTACACTTGTAATCCCAGCACTTTGGGAGGCCAAAACAGGCAGATCACGAGGTCAGGAGTTCAGTACCAGCCTGACCAACATGATGAAACCCTGTCTTTGCTAAAAATACAAAAATCAGCCAGGCATGGTGGTGAATGCCTGTAACCCCAGCTACTCAAGAGGCTGAGGCAGGAGAATCACTTGAACCTGGGAGGCGGAGGTTGCAGTGAGGCGAGATTGCCCACTGCACTCCAACCTGGGTGACAGAGTGAGACTCGGTCTAAAAAAAAAAAAAAATCTGTGTAGCACATAAGCTGGGTGATATTTGACCATTTAGTTACCTCTCTAAGCCTCAGTTTTCCTATCTGTAAGATAGGGAGATCTTTGCAAAGAGATTTTGTGAAACTAATTCACAAGCACAAAGCACATGTCTTTTCATTGTATATTAGGGTGAGGGGTTTGCATATAATCCTGCAAGCTAGTAGACGGTGGACTTCTGTACCCTCTCCCCATGCTTTTTTCTTTGACCACCAGTTTTCCTATCTCCTCTACCCGCATGGGAGAAAGACTTGCTGATTTTATTTTCTCAGAGTTTGGAACCCAACTGGACTTTTGCTTTAGTTTTCAAACATGTATCCTCTTTCACCTTTCTCAGTTTAATAGCCACACAGAAGCCATAGTAATCCTCTTAAAAGATATATCAGATTTTCTCTTTCTGTCTCTTGATTGATACCCTCCAATGGTTTCCCCATGCTCTTAGAATGAACTCTGAAGTTCTCACCATATTCATAATGACCTTGTCAGCTCCATGTTTGTCTGTCTTTAGTGCCTCTTTCACCTCACTCACAGAACCCTCCTTCTCACCCTCCATGCTCCAGCCCCACTGACTATTCTGAGAATGTGCTAACATCTTCCTTGCGCATGATGCTTCTATTTGAGTGTGCTTCTCCTGACTTCTTCCACAACTGGCACCTTCTCATTCATCAGATCTAGCTCAGACGTCTCTTATGAAAGACCTTCATGACTCACCCAAGTCATTCCAGCACCCATGTCATTTACTTACCAGTGTAGTTCCGTGTTAATGTCTTTTAAATGGTCTTCCACATTTTAATATTTTTCATTCGCTTATTTGATTGTAGTCTATTTCTCCCATAATAACGTAAGCTCAGTGATAGCAGCAACTTTGTCTGTTACATCCCCAATGATTAGAACAATACCTAATGTGTATTAGACGATCAGTAAAGTAATAACTCGATTGATAGATAAATAAATAAATAAATTTAGGCCAGAGTTACTACCAGCCAGAATCACTACGAGTGCAAGGCTCAGTATGCATGAGCTGACCCTTCCAGGGTGCTTGTGGCAAGCAGACAGGGCAGGGAGGGCTAACCAGATCTCTGTTTCTTATCTACTTCCTCTGCACCTACAATTGGGTGGGTGGTTTGGGGATGGCTCCGAAACTCCGATCATATTGAGTTCAGAAAGGGAAAAAGTGAGGAGCCCATGCAGCATTTCCTATTTAGTTGTGTCAGAAAGCCCTACAGTGGACATCCCATATGCTTTCCATCTCTTAAGTAACAAGTACCTTGCTTAGAATTCTGCTGTTGTTCCTACTATAGGCCTCTCAGCAATATCTGGGTATTTATGGGCCCTGGATATAATGATGTGATAACATTACAATGAATCACTAACGTATGAGTGCCTCATCTAGAGCCAAGTGGGCAAACGCACAGAGACGAGGATTTAGGGACAAAACGCCACTTGGAGATATCGAAGCTCTGGAACCATTTCTAGAGTTCAGCTCTGCCCAGCCTTGACAGCTAACCTGATAAACAGACTTACCAAGAGAGAGGAGTAATTGGGGCCAGGTGAAGCATGTCCTGGATCTCACTCTGAAATAGCAGACCTCTGATTATGGCCCGGAATAGAGAGATTCTTTTATGAAGTGAAAAGAGATGGGCTGGGAACAATGGCTCATGCCTATAATCCTTGCACTTTGGGAGGCTGAGGCAGGTGGATGGCTTGAGCTCAGGAGTTTTAGACCAGCCTGGGCAACACAGTGAAACCCCTGTCTCTACTAAAAATACAAAAATTGGCCAGGCGTGGTGGTGCATGCTGGTAGTCCCTGCTACTTGGTAGGGGTGAGGCAGTAGATTTGCTTGAACCAGAGGTCAACGCTTCAGTGAGCCAAGATCACACCACTGCACTTCCAGCCTGAGTGACAAAGTGAAGTCTTGTCTTTAGAATATATATATAAAAATATATATATAAATAAAGCCATTTATATATATATATATTATAAAATAAATGGCTTTATTTCTTCTCAACATAGAGCACATGAGAGGAAGGAAGGACTTGGAGGGGAAAGGTGGGGAGGGCTTACTTCAAAGTACAAGTTTTAGAGGTGAATTTTGTGCTCAGAACTGGCTGCCCTAGAATTAATTCTCTCGGTCAGAACTGAGAGACCCTTAGGTGTCGAAGAAGAGGTCAAGCAGTCAAGAAAAAAGGAGAGAGAAAGGAATATATGTCCTGTTTTCAGACTGGTGAATTAAATAAGGCTAGAAGAATCTCAGAAGAGGCAAAGTTTCAGGGAGGAACCTGCAGAAGTTTCTGGGTCTCTAAAGACAGGTTCTGGTAGCTCCAAAAGCAGCACATAAGGCTTAGAAAGTTTTGGGTTTCTAGAAATCTCATAAAAAGCTGATGGCAGCATTTATTAGTCTGTTCTTGCATTTGCTATAAAGAAATACCTGAGGGTAGGTAATTAATGAGAAGAGAGGTTTTATTGGCTCACTGTTCTGCAATCTGTACAGGTGGCCTCTGCCCCGTTCTGGTAGCTCCAAAAGCAGCACATAAGGCTAAGAAAGTTTTGGGTTTCTAGAAATCTCGTAAAAAACTGATGGCAGAATTTATTAGTCTGTTCTTGCATTGCTATAAAGAAATACCTGAGGGTGGGTAATTAATGAGAAAAGGAGTTTTATTGGCTTGCTGTTCTGCAGTCTGTATGGTGGCCTCTACTTGGCTTCTGGGGGGATCTCAGGAAGCTTTCAGTTGTGACAGAAGGCAAAGGGGTGTGAGGCATGTCACATGATGGGAGCAGCAGCAAGAGCAAGAGGGTGTAGGTGTTACACACTTTTAAACAACCAAATCTTATGCGAACTCACTGGCTATTGTGAGGACAGAACCAAGGGGGGATGGTGCTAAATCATTTATGAGAAATCCACCCTCATGCTTCAATCACCTCCCACCAGGCCCCACCCTCAACACTGGGGATTGCAATTCAACATAAGGTTTGCTGGAGACACAC